GTATATGAGTATATATATAATATATATGCATGTATATGTGTGTGTGTCTGTGGGAGTATATGTTTATGTATGTATATGTATGTGTGTGTCTTTGTGTGTTTATGTGTGTATCTCTGTATGCAAATGGGTTATGTGTGTGTATGTATATGTTTATGTCTCTCTATGTGTGTATGTGTGTGGGTTATGTGTATAGTCATGTGTGTGTGTGTGTGTGTGTGTGTGTGTGTGTGTGTGTGTGTGTGTTTTCCTTAAAGCAGGAAATAGAAGAAGCAGCAAAGGAACACTTTCCAGATTTTAAGTCTCAAATCTTCTGATACATTAAAGAGAAATTTAAGAAAATCAAGGATAAAAAAATTTAAAATCTACAAGTAAAAAAAAGACGAGCTGCCCTTGAACGAGCAATAGTCCAAACTAACAGAGAGATTACCAGCAACAGTTAAGGCAAGAGGTCAATCTTCAGAAGAAAGGAACACAAGAAGCCACTGGATGGAATGAGACACCATGGAAGAATTTAGAAAGATGTAACTTTATGAAATGCAATACTAATGGAGCTGGGCTTCGTGGTGCACGCCTGTAGCAACAGCAGCTTGGTGTGGTGGGGAGCCTGCTTGGGCTACCAAAACCTCAGCCATCCTGGGCAAGAGAGCCTATGTCAAGGTAAACCAAAAAAGCCAAGCCACCATACAAAAAACATGAGAAGGAAGTAGGAAGTTACGGAAATAAAAGAGTCAGGAAACTACTTTGGTGTGTAGTGAATGGTTAATCCCAGACTGACAAAACACCAAAATTTCCAAGGTCAAGAAGAGACAATTTGAACTCTGCACAACATTTAAAAGACGATGAGATTTTGGAAAGCTCGAGATATAGTGACTGTGTAGACAGGCCCCGTCTTATTCATGACATGGTTGTCTTTGAGCAGAGAGGAAGTAAACAACACTGTCCAGGATAATATCTGCTCTCTTACTGACATAAAATCAAGACCCCTTTGCCATTTTGATGTCCACAGAATCCCATGAAAAAGGTCATGGCCGGGGTCAAACCAGTGGGGACAGAACCAGCTTGCCACTTCTTCCACAGCAACCGAACTGGTCCTCACCTCTGTGCCTGCCATCTTAGGGCGACTACAATAGATTTGTAGTAGACGTAATATTATCGATAGAATTACAGTCATAAATAATGAACGTTTGCCACAATGAGTTTCATCTTCCTGTCACCACCATAACTGCCACACCTGTCGCTAGGCGCTGGAAATGAAGTGCGGAGACTTATCATCGGGATGAGACAGATACATAAAGAAATACAAGAAGAAAAGAGGACCCTGCTGAGGTAAGGGGAGGGTCCAGTTCAGTGCCTGAAGTTCTGAGATGTGAATGCCCAGATTTCCTGTGTGGCATCACTGTGTGGCTCAATGAGCAGCCAACAAAAAGAAATGTCTTATGAGAACCGTGTTTGAATGAGGCATCAGAACTTCCTTTCCCAGGGTCCAGCAATTCTACATAACAAACCACAGTGGCTTCTCACTTGGATCACTGAGGCAAGAGGCTGCTGCAGTTATCTCACTGCCAGCTGACTCCCAGGGTCTTACTGATATCTGAACAGAAGGCTTTGAGCTAACTGTAGCCAAGGCCAAATTAGAGTTAGGAGTGTAAGGAAAAGGATTCCAGATGCTTCCAAGCAAATGCAAAATAATGTCCTTGTTCGGCCCCGCCAGGGACAGCCAGGAAAAGAAGCCGCATGTCCTCCAGATGAATACTGATGTTCTCAGGGTCCTGGAGATGCTCCCCAGGCTCACTTTGTTTCTGCTGCTCAGAGTGAACAGGGGTAATCTATCTTCCTGACATTGCTCTGTCAGGACAACCTACCTTCTGTCTAAAGAGCCTTTCCTCACTGATTTCTTTATCCTTCTACACCTGAGGCAATTTACTCTACTCTATTTCCCCAAATAAGTCTGCTCCCCGGCTGCCCTCAGGGCAGGTTGGTATTCCAGGTCTTATGTTTTGAACATGAAATGTCCCCCACAAACTCCTGTGTTTGAGCTGGTGGTGCTGTTTGGGATGATTATGGAACCTTTAGGAGGTTCACTGGAGGAAGTTTTATAGCCTGGCTATCAAATCCTCCACTTCCTGTGTGCAATACAATGCAACCAGGCAGCGTCTGGCTCCTGCTGCTGCGCATTTCCCGCCTGTCATCACGTCTTTCTCACCGTGGTGAACTCTAGCCCTCTGGAACTACAAGCAAAAATGAGTACTTTCTCTCCTAAGTTGTTTTCTCGGGTATTTTCATAGCAACAAAAATAAAACCAATACAGCAGGGGTTCTAAAGCAATGGAGACCCACTATTCCTTGGGTTCATCATTTTTTAAAACCCAGTATATAAGTTAAAATTGCACAGATATATAAATGTATATGCATATACCACATATCATGTATACATTCTTTCATTCCAAACTCTACAAAGAGGTCTCAGTTTAAAAAAATCCTTTAAAAAAAAAAAAGGTCTAGTATGTATTTCTGGGACATTAAAAATGTCTTCAAACTGTCATTGAACTTCCTGACATCACCTTGAGAGAGGGCTTTCCACTTCCCATCTTCTGACCGCTCCCCCACACCCCCCGAGGTGTATGCTTCTCACTAAGGGAGAATTAGATCACAGTGGTGGCCATGAGGTGTGTGGCCCTGTGTGATGCAGATCCCAGACGGCTGACAGCAGGGAGTGTCTGGGGAAGGACGACATTTGCTGACAGAGGAAAGAAAGTGACCCTCCTATCAGGACAGCCAGCCAAGAGAGACTGTGGGGCTCCTGAATCTGCGGCAGGCTTGGTGAGGGAGCAAGCAGCTATTAGCCAAGACTCTTTCCTAATGCTTGGCAGTCTAAGAATGGGTTTGAAGCCTTGGCACTGAGGCTCAGCTTGAAATTCAACAAATGCCATTTCAGTTTCTCTCAATTTTCTAAGTTGCCATAATTCAATTCTGTAACGCTAATACATGTTTATTATTATATACATGTCAGGAAATTCACAAAACCCCAGCTGCCACACGAAAGGAGTTAGTTTTCACCTATGGTAACCACAGTTGAGACTACTTCAGACTTGTACTAAACTCAGCCAACACTAGTTTGCAGGAGCAGCCCTGCAGCAGATGCTTGGCAGATCACTTGTATCATATGCTTGGCTCTGATGTAAGGAAATATCAGACAGGTGAGACATGGGATCATGAAATCTTTGTGGGGTAGAAAACGTCCTGTTTTAGGAAGCCAGTTGGGTCACTCACTATATACTCATACTAACGAAGAAAAAGATCATTTATGTAATGTATGTGTTGAACTGTACCATAAACTGTCATAAAAAGGTGTGATCTGGGGGCTGGAGGCATGGCTCAGAAGTTAAAAGCATGTACTGCTTTTGCAAAGGAGCTGAGCTTCCGGCACCCACATTGGGTGGCTCACAACCACCTGTACCTCCAGCTGCAGGGGATCTGGTGTTCTCTTCTAGCTTCTTCAGGCAGGCACACACACACACACACACACACACACACACACACACACACACACACACCCCACTACCACAACCACCACCACCACTGAAACTTTTTGAAAAGAAAAGTGAAATTTAAGGAGATTAGTGAACAGGAGGGAACGGGTGCTAGAGTGTCTGAAGCTTCCTTGGGTACCTGTGTCCTCCCCAGGCTCTCCTCAGCCCCTGCAGAGTCCACCCTAGCTTCTAGCTGGGTCACTGACCTCTTTCCTTTTCTAGTATCAGCTTCATATTGGGCCAGGAAGCAACAGTTCCTAGGCAAAACTTCATGATTTCTATCAAATGCAACCATGAATTAACTGGGTAAATAGGAGTGAATTTTTTGGAGTCTTTTTCTCAATAGGACTTTCCTCTACCGATTATTAAATAATGTTCTCTAGACAAAAATCCACAAGATCTTAGGGCCTCATGCTGAAAACAGCCATGGCTGTATATAAAAATGGCTGCCTCGGCAAGGAATAAGGAAAGATGATACAAATGAATCATCATGATGATAAAGGCTGCTAATTGGGACCAATGTCCAGTGAGCTGTTTTAAGACAGGAGAAAGTGATAATTCTTTTCAATAGTGATTGCTATAAAATCAATAATATTTGATTCTTCAGAAATATCTGAAAATGTTTGCATGAAATGGCAGCTCCCATTCAAACCCAATGTTATCTTTTTTGGAACAACAAACAAACATACAAATAAGTAAATAAAAGAGGTTGCAGGTGGCTAGCATATCTAAAATATAGTTATGAAATATGAAGGTCTGAGACAGATATATATATATATATATATCTTTGTCCTTGTTTCTTTCTTTAATTTCCATCTTTGGCATTCACTATGTGATACATCCTTATAAGATTTATTTTAGTTTTAAGTGTGTGTGTGTGTGTGTGTGTGTGTGTGTGTGTGTGTGTGTGTGCATTCACAAGTGCAGTTGCCTGTGGAGGCCAGAAGAGGGTGCTAGATCCCTTGGAGCTGGAGTAAGCCATCCAATATGGGTATTGGGAACTGAACTCGGCAAGAACTTCTAACTGTGGAACCATCTCTCTACCCCTGATACATCTTTATAGATTGCACTGAAACACTCTTTGAAGAAAGAGAACAAAAATAGGATAAACATATTAAGAAATACATATCTAGGGGAGTCTAATGAGAAAGGATTTCAGCTACAGAGACAATGTTCTTCAGAGGGCTTGGAGCTGGGTGTAGGTGTGTCCAATGAGAGGTAAAGCTGGTTCCCTGAAACATCTTCCCATATGGGATCATATGAAGTGTACCTGCTTGCTTACCAGATATACACATTGTGCTTCTTGATTAACAAGAGGATTATAATAAGGAGAATTAAGGATGGGAATGACATGGTTTCATACTGTTTAGCCATGCAAATCTCTGCTGCTGGCACTCATTTTTAAACACATGTTGCAAAAACAGGGACACTGGACATAAGCCAAAGCTGTGACAGCCCAGGACTTACTCACCATGCGCGCACGAAATAATGCGGGGATAAAGGACTGGTTAGATAGCTGGAGAATTCTTGAAGTATCCTTCAGGACGTAGATATTGCCAAAATCAACTTGCGTGGGATGAATGAAGATAACCGGGCCTTCTCCAATACTCTGTATATGACATGCCTGAGTTCCACAAGAGAAAGAACACAGGGCCAGGTGAAATGGCTCCCCTTAAGAGGGGTGAAAATAAAAGCTGCTAGTCTCCTCTAATAAAACCAGGGACAGGAAGGGTGCTGATGTGAGCTGATGTCCCTTCCCACTGGTTCTCTGTGGTCAGAGGGACATGGAGCTCTGAGCACGTGTAGTCAGAAATGTCTGTCTAGCCTGGAATGCCTCCCTGGGATGGTCAGCTTCCCTGGGCCAGTCCAGGGTCACACAGTAGAGAAAACCAGACTCTTGGAGCCATGTGTCCCACTCAGCCCTTTGGTCTCAAGAACACGTAACATGATGTTAAATGTCAGTGCTTCGAGTCGGATGTGTCTGAGCTTGATATCCAGTCCTGTCACTCTGACAACAGTTGACAGGCAGAGCTACTGCACACAGCTGTGCAGGCCGGGGGTTGAAATCCACACTATGAACTATGTGGGCTCTTGTCTTCCTAAAGCACTAGCTGCCTTCTTACCAGGGGCATCTGTGCAGGGCTGGAGTGGTCACAGTGAGCCACGGGGGGTTACTGACCTGCTGTGGATCATCCATAGCATCTTATACAGAAGTGGTCCAAGAAAAGCTTAGCTCATTGTGCTCTGTGGGCAGTCAGTATCAGCTCAAAGGCCGCCACTCTGGGATGGTCTGTATGTCAAATGTGTGCTCTGATTGGTCAATAAATAAAACACTGATTGGCCAATGGCCAGGCAGGAAGTATAGGCGGGACTAACAGAGGAGAATTGAGAGAACAGGAAGGCAGAAGGAGTCACTGCCAGCCACCGCCAGGATAAGCAGCATGTGAAGATGCCAGTAAGCCATGAGCCACATGGCAAGGTATAGATTTATGGAAATGGATTAATTTAAGCTGTAAGAACAGTTAGCAAGAAGCCTGCCATGGCCAATCAGTGTTTTATTTATTGACCAATCAGTACAATTTAAATATCACCATACGCCACCCAGCTTCCAAGTGAACTGAAATGCACAGGGAAACAACCTCCATCAAGACTCAAGATTTATCAGTTCAGCCTAAGCAGCAGTGTTCAGTGTCTCTCTCCTACCTTGCCCGGAGACTCTTAACATCTTTGGTAGGTAAACATGGATGACGGTTAATGACCAAGGAAAGGCACTAACGTGTGTGTGTGTGTGTGTGTGTGTGTGTGTGTGTGTGTGTGTGTGTGTGTACATGGATTGCATATATGAAAATTTGGCACTCAAGTTAGGTTTAAGAGCAATTACTATACCACCCTACAACTTTTGGCTGCATCTGCAGAGTTTTCCTAGGTAATGCCACATATGAGTTTTACTACTGTAGAATGAAAACATAAAGCCCTGTAATTACAGAAACCAGAGGATACACAATGATGACATGATGTCAGTGAAGAAGATAAAAACTCTATGGTAGGGTGGGAGCATGTGACTTCAACTGTGATTCTGAAAACTGACTCACCAGAGGGGTGTCTTGGCTCCCGAAGACCGAGATGTAAACTGTGGATCTGTGTTCACCGGTGACCTGGGTCTCCAAGGATAGTGGTATGTTCACAGTGCTGTGGGGGGAGATGACCCCACAGGGGGCGGGGCTGGAAAGCAGTACAGCTGGTGTATTCTCATACAGCTAGAGAGAGACAAACCAGGGGATAAGCAGGCCAGAGTCACAGAACAATTGTCTTATCGGCTTATTTTGAAACAACTGTCCTCTGCATTCACGGAGAGTCATTAGGAGTATGTCATCATTTAGAGTAGTCCATGGCATAAAGGACACCAGGTTAAGCACAAAGCATATGCGGCAAAAGATCCTAAGTTCCCAGCACAGTGAGATGCAGGGATGAGCACAAAGGCATTCTGGACACCAGCCTTTCACGGCCAAGGTCTACAGCTGGGTCCCTGTGCCTTCACGCTTCATTTCCCACTGCCGTAGACCTTTGCACCCCATTAATGGAGGCCATGCCACCAGCGGTTCCTGAGCACGTGGTCCTTGTCCCACCTGCGATCCTTTGTGCTTGTGATCTCCTTCTTAGCCTGCTCTTCTCCTTGACCTGCCTCAGGTACTTTTTCTTGAATTTGCTCCAGTTACCTCATCCCCAAAAGCTGCAGAGGTGGGGCGTTGCTCCGAGAGCATCCAGTGAGGTCCTTTTCTATAGCACATGACCACCTGTATGTTCATCTCTATGGGCTGGATATATTTTGGAGCCTGGCTTCTCCGTTTTGACAAGCCCAGTTTCTGGCCCAGAGTTTACCTGTAGGTCTGAATGATTCTGAAAACCTTACTGGGGACCTTAGCTCTCAGCAGAAAGGCACAGCATGCAGCTTTCGCCCTTCTGGAACATCCCTACCCTTTCTGCATCTGGCGTGGCCTAACAGAGCTTAACACGTTCTATCTTTATGTATCATTCTTTTGCTGAGCCCCCCGGAGCCTGAGACAAGAGGAAAAAAGTCTGTGATACTGATCTTTATCCAAATAATGATATTTTGTGTGCTATAGTTTTTAAAATTATTTTAGTATCTTAGAACATGTGGCAAAAAGAAAATACTAAGTATCTTGATGACTGAGTAAGCTTCATCTTCCATTTTGCACCCAAGGCATGTTCTACCTGGTTCCCAGCTCCCTGTGTTGAAGTGCTTCCCTTGACCCTTGACCCTGGACACAGGCTGTGCTCTGAGTCCTTGAGATGACCATGCACAACATAGGGCCCTCCTCGTCTGCTGCTGGCTCTCTGCTGGATGTGTCCAGTAGCTTGGTCCCTGGTTTCTGCTTGTCTTAGAGAAGCCCACATAATAATTCCAACTTCCTCTCCTATATGATAGCCCTTTGGCTAGTGAGAGGTAACCATATTGTCCTGGTTGAGCCTTCTTTGTTCAGTCGAAACACCTGAGGTGGCTCTTCCCATGACTAAGATTTGCAGATGACATGGGTCACATTTTGGTTACCATAAATATGATGCTCCCCCTCCCTCCCTAAGTTTTCATTACAAAAGATAGCAAGAGCCAAAGATAAAACTCTGGCCATGTTTTGACCAGTGCCTACCAGCTTCCTTTAGCTGTATTTCTCAGATTCAGCCCAAATATTTATTGATTCTGTGGTCCCCATAAAACACTAACACATAAAGCTCAGTAGTGGTCTGAATGAGAAATGTTCCTCCTAGGATCAGGGATTTGAACATTTGGTCCCTAGTTGGTGGTGCCATTTTAGGATGTGGAGCTTTGCTTGAGGAGGTACACCATCGGGGGTTTGTAGCCTCTCTCTACTCCAGTTCACTCTCTCTGCTACCTGTGTGTTGAAATGTGCTCAACTAACTTTTGCTCCAGCTGTCTGCTGCCATGTCTCCCTGCCATGATGGACTCTACCCTCTGGAACCAGTAAGCCAGAATAAACTATTTCTTCCAATAAGCTGTTCTTTGTCATAGTGTTTTATCATAGCAACACGAAAGTAACTAATAAAACATCCCAATTACCCTCCCCCATAAATTTAGACTGTAGTCTGTATGCACAGAGCTAAATTTTAAACCCAAATGCATTCTTGGTAAACTGTATATCATTAGCAACCTTCTGCTAATCTAGTCTATATAAGTCTTTCTGAATTTTCTGCACATGTGACCTGTTTGGTCCTCTACGTAGCCAGGTGTAGTAGTGTGGTATGTGGTAGTATGGAAGGATCTAGTTCATAGGCATTAAGACACAGTTTCTCTTCCTGTGTAACCCCTAGCTTTCTGGTCCAAATGGTCCACTAATAAACACTTCATTGCTGTATCTTGGTGATGCTATTCAGCCATGGCCATGAGCACAAATGAAATCTCCCAGCTCACTTCCCAAGCTCTGTTAATTCACAGACAATTATCTGCAGGTGCACTTCTGCGTGTTGGCTTAATTGACACCTTCCCTTCTTTATCAAGGACAATTTCCCTGGGAAATTAACCACTGTTTACACCTGCAGCTGCTCATCCACACAGAGAGCAATCCAGCTGTGGCTTCCTAACCCAACACCCAACTCATCTGAGGGTTAAAAATCAGAAGAACAGGAGGTCCCTTGCACAGGACTATGGCTTCTCAGAAGGATGCCTCTTTCTCCCTGAGGGAGTCCACGGGAAGAAATCTCGACACAGAAGAAAGATAAAGTAACTCACCTGGGGCAGGACCTTATAGCACCCGGGAAGGTCATCACGATTGACAAGCTGGATGGTCTTCTCATACGGGTACTTCAGGAAGCAGCGCCCGAAGTTCACCTCTGTGGTAACCAGTTGGAGGGTAGGCACAACACACCTGCTCGAAGGAGCCCATTAAACAAGTCAAAACAGAGAGCTTGTTTACACTCAGAAAGGCAGAGTCCTAAATGTATCTGTCACTGTCGCATAGTAGCTTTTCTCTGATACCTCTAATCGTGGGCACCATGGGCCACAACTGATCATTTCAGCTCTTCTGTCCTATTCTCTCCCTCTTAGTCTCCACCCACCATTAGTTAATCGGAAGAGAACCAGAGGTAAACCTCCTTAAACAGCCACCTCTGCTGGGCAGTGACAGCCCTTTCCATTAATTTTCCAGCGTGTTCCTCCTTTGTGAAGGGCCCCATAGCCAAGTTCACTAGGGTAGTGGGTCTCCATCTGTGTAAAACAGGGCCCATGGCAACTGCATGGAGTCTTAACTAGCCGTGACGCTGTGGATGGGTCAGAAAGCCTCCAGGTACTAACACAGCCTGAATCATCTAAATCACAACACTAATTCTAATTCCACTGCAAGTAGCTGTCTGGGATGAGCATGCTCCTGCAGCTCAGGCCAGGACTGGAGCTATGCTAGTGCTTCTCGCATTCAGCCCTGGGTTGCTGTTCTATCACTCGGTGACCTGGGCCTTATTTCATGTCTACAGCTCACAGTGTCTAACCTGCCCTAGGTCACAGTCTGACACGAAGCACAAAGATGGAGAGAACTGGTTGTTGAGCTGCATGGAGCCTGGTTAGTGCTGACCCTACAAAGTCCAACCTGGGTTAGAGTCAGCTGCTCTTTGCCTCACGTCTCACCCCCCTAGGGAGTAAAATGAAAGCATCCTGGAGACTGGATGGCATTATTCAGTGGGGCTGTTACTCTTAGCGCGGTGTGGAGGAATCCAGGAGAGAGGGGATGGACCTGGGGTGAGGGCATGGCAAGAGTCAGTGCCGGCTCTCTGAGGGGATGCCGTGGGGTACAAGTTCTAAGAGAAGCTCTTCTGTTGAGGGTCAGCAAGCAGTTCCCGCAGGTGACGTGGGAAATGGCAACAGGAAGGGACCTCTCTTCAACCTGATGATGAGCGCTCATTCTCAGCTAGCACGAAAATTGTCGGTTGACCCCCGTGACTTTCTCAAAGCTAATCCTTTGCTCTCTGAGCCAGTGTGGCTGAGAGGGGTTATGATATTTTACGTGGCTCACCGCAAACCTTAGCAGGAGACTCACAGTCCCTTTAGGCATTATTATTTTTTACAATTTAGAACAGCTGCAGGGAAAGGAGGCTGAAAGGGGTCGGAAACAGTCAGCACAGAGGTCAAACGCAAGACCAGACCCAAGGCAAAGGCAGACCTCAGAGTGGTGCAGACTGGACCACAGAGCTTTTCCTGTTTTCAGTCAAACAAACAAACAAACAAACAGTCAGATCGTAATGACATTTAAGTAGACTGAGGCAGCAAGAGTTCTAGCTCCTTCCAGGTTGATATTTGTCTCTACTCAAGCTTCAGACACACACAGGGAGGCCAGTGATTATCAATCAGCACGTCTGCACCTTCCTTAAGGTGTCTCCCGAAGACTCATAGGACCCAATCCCAGGTTCTGCTATGCTAGTTCTGCACGTCATTTCTCCCTGTCCACAGCATTTGCTTCCACACAGTTCTGAAGCCTGTGTGCTGTGGGAGGAGGACAGTCAGCCCCATTTAAACCTGCCTTCAGAGATCCTTACCGACTGAGAGAGAGAGAGAGAGAGAGAGACAGACAGACAGACAGACAGACAGACAGACAGAAGCTGGATGCTTGGGAGGTGGAGCTGTGAACGAAGTGTTTGCTGTGCAAACACGAGGAGCTGAGTTAGGACCCATACACACACATTCACACACACACACATTCACACACACACACACACACATTCACACACACACACACACACATTCACACACACACACACACACACACACTCACACATACACACACACACACACACTCATGTAAAACCTGCGGGTGGTGGGGCAGAGAGCGGATCCCAGATGCTCCATGGCCAAGTTCAGTGATAGAGCTCCAAATTCAGTGATAAACCCTGACTCAAAAATAAGGTAAAGAGTGACAGAGGGGACACCCAAGATCAATCTCTGGGCTCTACATGTGCACACCTGGAGTGAGTGCATCCCTACACTTATGTGTACACACATATACAACACACATAGATATACACATATGTGTGTGCATACCCACAGAGTGAAGATGATACATTTCTATTACTAGAGATTGACAACAGCATCCACCTTGTACTACATGACCTTGGCATATCAATCACATTAAAAACTGAAAATAAAATTCAGCAACTCGTCACCTACCTGCTAAACCCTTTCAGTTACATACTTATATATAAGACCATCAGAGGGCAACACAACACACACACAAAGCCTTTTGGTCCTTAGGGTCTCCACCAAAGGTCCTTTACAAACACTCTCTGTTTCAAAGCTTTGCCCTTTGTGCTCCAGATTCCATTTCCCATCCTAGAAACCCAAGAGGACTCCAGTACGCAATGTTTAGCAGGCCAATTGCCTTGTGGGAGGCAGCCTGACACTGGGTGCAGGGGGCGGGGGCTGCGGGCAGAGAGGAACAGGTGCATGCTACCTGGCTGTAATCAAGAGTGCCAGCACTTCTTCTCCAATACCCTCCACATCTACCACCAGCGCCAGCTCGTATTTCTGCACGGTGTTGGAGCACAAGGTCACCTGGGAAGAAAAAGGTGACAAGTTGCTATTCAGAAAGACCGGGGACGGGGTGTTGAGTGGGGGGGAGCACTTGAGTCAGCACGCTTTCTAAGCACTTCACATTGTGGGGTCAGGGCATGGCGGATGTTTTCAAAGGCTGGGTTAGAAAGCCAATGTTGTTAGCACAATAGGCCGGTTCGGTTCTGAGGTGATTTTTATCACAGGAACTTCACACCCACGCCAGGGGGAAAATGACCACAGATGGTGAGAAATAACAAGCAGACTTGAGTTACTGCAGTTTAAATTGTTCCTTATGCTACAGGCGGCTATCTAAATGATAAAACTTCAATATAATTGAGTAAACAGTACAGGGCATTTTCTCTTGCATCAAAGGGAAATTAAAATAATTGTGTATTCTTCAGAAACTGGCTGGGGCAATCCGTTTTTCAAACTAAAAATTTGTCTCCCCCTTTCATTTTCATTATTAGAGCAGAAAATAGGAAGGTCCAAGCCAGGTCCACCTGAGGACAATCTCTACCCAGAACATTCTGGCCTCTGTTTGTATTTACGCTGTGAAACTCTGTGTTTAGGCCCTCTGAAAGCCTCGTTACAACTTTTAATTGCTTCAAAATGATTTCTACTGGAAGGGATACTTGTTAGTCTGGAAAACAGCTTCTGGCATGGGCTAAGGGTTTTCTGTCTATAAATTATGTATCAGGTACTAATTAAAATCTTTTTGGTTGCAGAGGGAATTGCCGCATGCAAATTTGAGTCCACACAGACCTGGCTGGAGTGTGGATCAGAAGAGAGAGACGAAGCGCAGATAGGGTGTTTGCCAAATATATCAGAAAAATAAAAAGAAGGAAAGCATTGATTTGAAAATAAAATTTGTCAGGCTCGGAGAAAAGCTGAGGATGTCAGCCTGCATGATTGGAACCCCTGTTTATGTATTGGGATTGTGGTCCATAGGAAAAAAAGCCAAGGGTTCCAGTAGAAGGCTGGGGGAGAGATGCTGTCTTCAGACACCCCTGTGCTATCTCTAGGGGCCAAAGGGAAGGGAGCCTGCATGGAGGCTGAGCATCGAGTGAAAGATGAGTCCACTGAAGCCGAACTCCTTGCTAGGAAAAGCCAGTTAGCAATCTCCGGAGATGACATATCAAACCTCTTCAGAGCCCTGGAGAAGCCCACTGGAAGAGCTGAAAATTCCCAGGAAAAGAGTTAGGGTGGAGAGATCCCGGGCAAGATATTAAGAAGCTTCTAAAACAAAATTGGGGATGAAACAGTGGCCGGATTAAATAGTCAATGATAATATCTAAAGAATTCGCCATCTCCTTTCTTAGAAATCATCACTTTGGTTTAGCGGCCTTCCATTTTGCTAGATCTCAGTGTTGGGAGGAGCAAAGGTAAGAGGAGACAGCTAAAACCCTCCTCAGTTAACTTTGAAATAATCCTGCCGATGGCACTATGAGGCCATCACTAAGTCCAGTGCATTGACCTCATTTCAGACCAAGCCTAGGGTGAGGAGAGGTGCTGGGCAGCCTTTGTATTCCTTTTCCTGTGGGCTCAGATACAAAGCTCTGATGGAAACGAACATCGCACTCACAGTTGCCGGGACCCAGATTTAGACTGCAAACCTGAATGACCCGGCTGGCAGCCTGGCATAAACCCGGATGTTTATGGTTGTGGAGCATCTGAGTCTGAAGCCAGAGTCTGAGTTGTTCTTCGCTTCTGTTAGTGTCAGTGGGTGGGTTGTCCTTAGGGGACAGAGACTGCACTGGAAAGAACTGGAAGCTGCAGTTCCTGGGAGGCACTGCATCTACACTCAGATAAATCAACTGGAGTGTCCTGGTCTGGAGGAAACAAGGTTCTTCCAGAGAAACACTTGAGCCCTTCTTTTGGCCATTAGACTATTGAAACAGTGGTTCCCAAGAAACTGGAACCCCCTTCCCCATTAACTCCTGCAATCTCAAGCTGGAGAAGAAGGCTGCTGCCTGGAAAGAGATCTTACACAGTTCTGAAAATTAGTCAGACCACCTCAGAGGAGAGACCAGAGCTGAAACTGCGATGATGCGTGAGGCCAGACCAAGATCAGAACTACTCTACTTAAACCAAATCTCATGTCAGGACCCCAAGATGACGGGGGAGGGGGTGCCGCTAGACTTCTTTGTTCCTCTTTGCATGGTGGGGATTTGTCTTTCTACTTGACTTATTGAGGACTGGCTTGCTAGGCCTGGCTGAGCACAGGCTCTAACCTTAGCAGTTCCAGGAACACGGGCAGCGTGGATTTCTCTGCTCGGCCTATTTGGGTTTGGTTCCTTGGTCTCAGAGGCGTGTTTCCTACAGACCCAGTTCTGCATGTGATTCCCTGGTGTGGAATATGATTTTAAGATGTGTTATATTCGTTTATGCTGTGGAACATTTGTTTTAATGATGCAAAGATGGATTGCCTTCTTTTATGTTGCATTTGTTTGACTTTGTGAAGCAGTGTTACTTTGCCTGTCTAAAACACCTGATTGGTCTAATAAAAGGCTGAATAGCCACCGGGCGGTGGTGGCGCACGCCTTTAATCCCAGCACTCGGGAGGCAGAGCCAGGCGGATCTCTGTGAGTTCAAGGCCAGCCTGGGCTACCAAGTGAGCTCCAGGAAAGGCGCAAAGCTACACAGAGAAACCCTAAAAAAAAAAAAAAAAAAAAAAAAAAAAAAAAAAAAAAAAAAAAAAAAAAAAAAAGGCTGAATAGCCAATAGCAAGGCAGAGAGAGGGTAGGCAGGGATGGCAGGCAAAGAGAATAAATAGGAGGAGAAATCTGGGAGGAGAAGATTGAGGAATGAGAAAAAAAGGAGAGGAGGACATCAGGGGCCAGCCACCCAGCTACACAGCCAGCTACAGAGTAAGAAGTAAAGAAAGGTATACAGAAATAGAGAAAGAGAAAAGCCCAGAGACAAAAGGTAGAAAGGATAATTCAAGTTAAGAAAAGCTGATAAAAAACAAGCCAAGGTAAGGCCAGGCATTTTTAAGTAAGAATAAGCCTCCCTGTGATTTATCTGGGAGCTGGGCGATGGGCCCCCAAAGAACAAAGAGCCAAAAGAGCAAAGAGTAAAGACAACCCACAACAATTCCCCTGGCACTCCCAGAGAGCCCCAGGTGAGGTGTTGGTGGCTATCTGAAAGGTGGGTGTTGGGCCGTGTGTGCTGAAGCCTGTGCACGTTACCTTGATGGCAGCGAAGCCCTGGGCACGTATGGTGCCACTGCTGGGAGTGATGGTGAATTCTTTTGGTTTCGTTGCGGATATTTCTGTATTGATCCACGACCGTCTTTTAATGTCTGACTCCTGAGAGTAACTTGGGATGCTTTGCTGGCCTTCGCCATCTCCACGGACACGCAATTTGAAGGTCATGGGGACCAAAGATGTATTATTGAGGGAACACATCAAAGTATGGGGAAATCCTGGGGAACAAAAGAAGAGGTGAGAAAGACTCCCTTCTCCCAGTAGCCTCCTTTGGCCAATAAATCCCCCAGCAATGGCCTAGCATTGAGTACGTAATTCATCACACTTCCTCACCACTTTCCAACTTGTCCTACATTTGTTTGTTTGTTTGTTTATTGTGTGTGCATGTGTGTGGGTATGTGTGGAGGTCAGAGGTCAATGTTAGCTTCTTCCTCAATCACTATTCACTTTATTTTTTGATACAGAGTCTCTCACCAAGCCTGGAGTTTCCTGGTTTGGTTAGACTGGCTGTCCAGCAAAGTTCAGGGACCCTTTCTCTGTCTCCCCAATGTCAGGATTATAAGTATACTCCACTGCATCCAGGTAGTTCACTGGGTTCTGGGAGATCCAATCCAGGTTCCTATGTTCTCACGGCACTTCATTAACTCAGCCAAGTCCCTAGGCCCTCTTTAAAAATCTCTTAAATGTATGTACAAGACAATGGGTTTCACTGTGACATCCTCATCTTCCCAAATGTACGTCATATTCATTTCCTGTTATCGCCTTAAACCATCAATCACGCAATCAATAAATACACTTCATTCATTCATGAATTAACTGAAGAATGTTTATCATGGCTTAAGTCATGCAGGTTAAACAGTGATACAAAACAAGGCCCTTGACTGTCACCCAGGCAACCTCTACTGCTACTTATTTTGAATTGTCTTGTAGGGTGTAATTTGCCTTTATTCTCTGCATAAAATGCAGATTTTTAAAATACAGGATCATCCTCACTCCTCTTTGCCAATGTGTGAACAGAGAAGCCTACATAGTTGTGTCTGCTGGTTGATCTAGACCTTGCTAGGAGGTGACAAAATTTGTACCTGTCCTTTCTGAGGAGTGCTCTCGGGGCTGACGACACAGTGCATAGTAATGGCCTCTCCCAGGAGAGACTTGGTGATCTGGGTTAGAGCCAGCCAGAGAGGAACACTAGTTCACCTCCCCAGAGTTCTGCGTCAGGTTCTATGCAGCCCCATTGCCTTCCTTTGGTGAGGCTCACTCAAAGAGATGCAGGTCTCCTTTGCTGCGACAGCAATACATTGACTTTTGGCTGGATTTCCTGGGTGGCTGTTACATCGCTGTCACTTTCAGAGCAAGAATAACCACAGGATAATTTACGTGGTTGCTTTTGCTAGAGACAACGTCCACTTTTCTGCCTAAAACCACCTTCTTTTAGAAATCCCAAGAGAGACTGATGGAAAGTCGCCTTCGCAATCATGTAATTGCTATACCGGACTCTCCAGAGCTTTCCCAATAATGACTCTGAAAACTATGCTTATCTTTTTTTTTTTTTTTTTTGGTTTTTCGAGACAGGGTTTCTCTGTGTAGCTTTGCGCCTTTCCTGGAGCTCACTTGGTAGCCCAGGCTGGCCTCGAACTCACAGAGATCCGCCTGTCTCTGCCTCCTGAGTGCTGAGATTAAAGGCGTGTGCCACCACCGCCTGGCTAAATTATGCTTATCTTAACTGGCCATTACTATTATAGGGTAATATGAAAAGTGGATTCTATAGTTAGGTGGTCCTCCAAATAATTGCCCAGACCAACTCCTTAGCCAGCAGTTTTTCACAGAATAAAACTTACTTAGGACAGTCTTGGGCCAGTGTCTCTGTGGCCCCACATCTGCAAAGCCTAAGGAGGGGATGTTGGTTTGCTGATGACCCAGTGGACATTAGCAAGAATGCTATGCCTAGGCTTCCATCCACAGTCTGTTCTATCTACAGTTTTACCTGAAAGCATTTTACAGTTCTCAACATCTATATTCTCTCCATTTAATGTCTGTGGCTAAGTCTTAGGATAATTAACAACACGACTAGACAGATGTTCACGGATTCACAGAGGTGTTCATACTTCTTCCTGTACTCAATATTGTTTTGAAGGAAACCATTCTCAAAAGATTGAATTCTCCTTCAACATCTGCATTTTTATCTAACCCAAAAAGACTCTTAAGAAGCTCTCTCGGGGCTAAGGTGGCTCAGTGGTTAAGACCACTGACTACTTTTCCAGAAGACCCTGGTTTGATTCCCAGCATCTACATAGTGGCTTACAACTGTTTGTAACTCCAGCTCCAGGGGGATCTGATGCCCTCTTCTGGTCTCCATTGGGCACTGCATGCACATGGTGTGCTTTCATAGAAGCAGGCAAAACACCCATGCACTTAAAATAAAAATAAATAAATCTGGAGCCGGGCGGTGGGGGCGCACGCCTTTAATCCCAGCACTCAGGAGGCAGAGGCAGGCAGATCTTTGTGAGTTCCAGGCCAGCCTGGTCTACAGAGCGAGATTCAGGAAAGGCACAAAGCTACACAGAGAAACCCTGTCTTTAAAAAAAAAAAAAAATCTGAAAAAGATCTCTGTCTGTCTGTCTGTCTGTATGTCTGTATCTTTATTGCTAAAATTGGGGTCTGGGGTCTTGAACATGCTAAGCAAGTGCTCTACCACTGTGCAGAATCTTCACCCACGAGACTCCTTGCAGAAACTGTAAATCACAGAGCACACAACAGCAGCAGCAGATTCTTCAAAAAGATGATATGTAGGAAACACAGGCTCACTACTAACCAACAGGCCTCCAAAAGAAGATACCACACTGATTCAGTAACATGCATGACCAAAAATTAAATGACAGTGGAGAGACTTTGGGGGTATTCATGGGAGATTTTAGACAAGAGGATCCTAGTGTTTCTAGTAAACTAAGAATCTTCACAAAACAGAGGGAAACGTGTGTAGGTCATTTTGCAAACGAGGTGGCACTTTTGTAGTTACAGAAAGAATTCTGGACAGGAGATATGCAATCTAGGAAAAGTCTGTATACCTGTATCATGTACGTTATGCAGTGTAATGCATGTGTGTGTGTGTGTGGGGGGGCTTCATATAATGTTTTCTGAATCAGTGAAATTCTCCTAATATCCAAATGTAAAGCAACTGACAGACACATTATGAATAGGTTTTTGCCTAAAGAACTATTTTCCCACAGTAGATAGGTCCATTCAACAGGAAACAAGACAAACAGGAAACAATGAGACAGACTGGGAAGAAGCGGGGATGAGGATTGAAATGAGTAGTTCTCAATCTGGGCTTTTCCTGCTGTCACCTTCTAAATAGAAGGGCAAATTCATTTTAAATCAGAGCAAATTAACCTACTGAATAATTGAAATTCTCTTTCTCAAGAGGAATTAGGAATAGGACTTGACTATGTAGGACTGAACATTGGAAGGTCATAAATATTTATAATTTTCTTTTTTTTTTTTTATTATGAAGGACCAAATTTTGCCTCACGGGGGCAACATCCCAGTTGAAAGCAGGTCTCAAAACAAATAGCAATTCTATCAACACTGTGTGGTTTTGGCAAATAATTTAAAGGTCTTGAGGCTCCAGTTTTGCTTATTAGAGCCAGTGACTACCTCTGTGAAGTATTGCTAGGTTCAAGCGCACCACCGCACGCCATACATTGAGCAGGGAGAAGCCAGAAGAAATAACAAGGGAGACACTGCTGCTATTGCTGCTGCTGCTGCTGCTGCTGCTTTTTATCAGTGGGGACACATATACAGGAAGAAATGTCGCAGGGCAGACACCAAGTGAGACGATAACACAAACAGTTGGAACATCCTTCAACCTGGAGCAACAGAACCCTGGCATCAAACCACACTGGCCCCACTTGAACTCGAAAGCATCTCTCTAAGAAGGCTGCTGTGCAGCCAGGTGGACAAATCAGGATTCACGTTTAGATACAGTGCAGATCTGGAGCTTTGTTCACTGACAGAGCACTTGCCTGGCACGCACAAGGCTCTGAGTTTGATAACAGCACTGCAAGGAAGCAAGACACAATCGCTAGCCCAACCATCACGACCACCACCTCCTCCAAATCCCCACAACAAGGAACACAGAATGTTCAGATAGTGAAAAGATGCATAAGGTTGCTGAAGACAGCTCTTAATGCCCAGGAGCTAGTTACCACTTTACATATAATTTAGAAACAGTGCCCAAATGCCCCTGCCACAGAGGAAGAGGTCCTCTTGATGAGCTATTAAAATGTTAAGTGACGTGCTTTGTAAACCTTCCTTCTCCCAGGTAAAGACCAAAAACATATTCTATCCAATTTCTAAGTTTAAAATGGAAAGTTGGGACTTGGGGAATGGCTTAGTTGCTGTGTTAGTTTGCATTCGACTGCTATGACAAACTCCATGACCAAAAGCAGTGTGGGGAGGAAAGGGCTTATTTGGCTTATGCTTCCAGGTAACAGTCCACCACTGAGGGCAGTAGGGGCAGGAACTCAGTGGGAACTTGGAGGCAGGCACTGAAGCAGAGACTATGGTAGGATGCTTCTTACTGGCTTGCTCTCCATGGCCCACTCAGTCTGCTCTTTTATACAACCCAGGACCATCTGCCCAAGGATGGCAGCAGCAAGCCCTTGGCTTTACAATAATTAACAACAACAACACAAATGCCTGCAGGCTTACTTACAGGCCAATCTGATGGAGGCATTTTCTCAATAGAGGTTCCCCTTTCCCAGATGACCTTAGCTTGTGTCAAGTTGATGGAAAACCAGCCTGCACACTTTGCTAGCATAAAGACCTGAGTTTGATCCCTGACACTTACATATAGACAAGTGTGGTGGCATGTGCTTGTAATCCCAGTGCTGGGGAAGCAGGGTCAGAAGGGTCCCTGGGACTCACTGGCCAGAGCCTAGGCTAATTGGTGAGCTCTAGGCCAATGAAAGAGATTGTCTCAAAGGAGGTAGGTACATGGTCTTCATTCAAGGTTATCCTCCAGATTTCATATGTACACACACACCACACACACACACACACAAAAAAAAAAAAAGGAAAGGAAAGAAAAGAAAAGAAAGTTACTTACCATAAGAAACATCACCAAAGTGTAGAGCAGGGATATTAAAATGGAATGTAGGTCCAATGACACAGCCTCTGAAAGTCAAAGCACAAATGGGGAAGTACTGAATGAATCCAGTGAGCCAAAGTAATGATCAGAGCCAGGAAGAGAAGACACGCGAATAAACAAACCTTGGCATGAAGTCAATGACAGAGTCTAAGAGGCCATGACCTGACAGACCACTACAGTAGCCATTACAATCATTTTTCAGAGAGTGTGTGGTATATCTCAGTGGGGACAGCACTTGCATGCAAGGGTTTTCATAGGGGCATGGACCCCTAGCACCTATATAAAAGTTGGGCATGTATGGCGGTCACTTGTAATACCAGCACTCAGGAGGCAGAGCCACGGAGTCCCTGGGGCATGATGTCCAGATTCAGATTCAGTTAGAGACAGCCTCATCAAATAAAGCAGAGGGAGACTGAGAAAGACACCTGATGTCACACTGGGCCTCCACATGCATGTGTACATGTGTGCCCACACACATGTGAACATGAATACATACACACATGCATTCCACACACTCATAGACAAAAAAGTCTTAAGGTCTCAAACTATAGGTTTTAAGAAATGCTAGCATGATTAGTGTATAACCTTGTTGCTACTTGTGACCAGGGAAGAGGCAGCTAGATCACCAAAGTAACGCTATAAAATGTGGTTAATTTGGATGAATTATATACTCTATAAAGTAACCAACTCATCAAGAAACCAAAGTTGGTAGAGATGCTTCAGTGGTTAAGAGCATGTACTGCTCTTGCAGAGGACTGGAGTAGAGTCCCTGGCTCCCATGAAGGGTGGCTAATGCTGCCTGTAACTGCAGATCTGGGGAACTGGATGCTTTCTTCTGACCTCTGGGCACCTGCACTCATTCATATGTGCGTGTCACCCTGCCACACATACACATAATTAAAGATAAAATAAATAGTTAAAAATAAACAAAATGAAAAAGAGAAAAAAAGAAACAAAATGTATGTTGGAAATGTCCTCCCCATGGGCTAGCTTCATCATGTTGGAAAGTTCTCTGCAGGCCACTGGGGAGGGAAATGATCAGGGATCTTCCTCAGCAGTGAACCCTGCACACTACAATACTAACCTGACAAGCAAGACATGTTCACTGGTACAATAGTAGCATGACTGCTACTGAGGTAACCAACCACTGTGTGGTTGGATTTTTAGGTCAGTCCATGGGAAAAAAATTCATACCTGGTACTGTAAAACTGGTAAAAAATCCCATGATTGGAGAAGCCTTAGGTGGGAACCGTTGTTTTACTAAATAGAGATGTGGTCAAGCTGCCTTCTAAATATTTATACTTTTATCCACAGATCAGTGCTGCTCCCAACACAGGTCAAAGAGAAAGACCAGCCTTAAGATGCTGCAAAATCTTGGGGAATGGATTCTCTCCTGGGGCTTCCAGAAAGACTCATAGTTCTGCCTTCACCTTAACTCTGGCTCAATTAAGATCAGTGTTGAGCTTCTAATCTACAGATCTCTAAAGTAATACATCTATATTGTTTTAATCTACTAAATTTGGGATGATCTTTTACAATAGCCAAAAGAAAGCTTATGGGGCAGGTATTCTTGTTTACTGGTTCAGATTGATTATGGATCCATAATTAATCTTCTTAAATGTCTAGAGCAAAGGTGAGGGCTGAACAATCTTCTGTACACATGGCAAAGCTTTAAATGATAGCAACACACAGCTACCTGTTATGCCACATGCAACGCACTGGTGCCTTGGTAACACTGCTGGCTGGCTGCTGGAGAAGAAGCTCTACTGTGCTAGGCTTCTGCAAGCCCGGAGGAGTGACCACAGCCAAGACGCAACATGACAAGCTGCAAGCAGAAAATCTGTTCTCATGACTCTATTTCATGCTGATGACCTGAGACGGTTTCCAAAAGCCTGTCTGGTACTCAGCAGCACATTAGGATCCAACTGAGAATGAAGCCAGAGAAGCTCACAGCTTATGCAGGTGAGTTGGAAAAGACACTTTTGGAGGCCAAAGTTTCGAGTAGATCAAGAAGTATATGAAATGAATAGAGACAAAAGGAAGTAGGAAAAGAGCCGGGGAAACAGCCCAAAGCCGTCATTTAATCAGTGCAGAAGTTAAAAGACCCAGAGATAAATCGTATGTGATCAAAGGCTCTGGTCACCCAGAGAACTGTGACTAAATGATGCCACCTGGACTGGGATGTGGTCATATGAATTCCAACAGGATATTCTTCTGGATATGAAGAGAGCCTATGCCAAGACCCAGCCGTCCAGCAACATGACAACCTGCTAACATGATCGTTTCCAAGACTCAGATTGATTGGATTACCATGACAAGTTAAGTGAGACAATTTAAATATCAAATATATCTATGTAATAGTTGAGAGTTTACAAAATTACATATGCCAAAAGAGAGAGAACACACTTGCTCATTGGGATATGTTTTAAAACTACATTAATTCTATATCATTGTTTAATCAGTCACTTAAAATATTGTGTCATGTAACTAGAGGATCATTAGAAACAGTAAATGTGTATTTGTTCTTTCATAAGGTATTTTAGCGCAAAATACATGGAGTCTGGGACAGGGCACCTGACAATAAAAGAATAAGAAGCAAAATTCTAGAATTCACACTATTAACTTCATAAATATTTCTTGAGACATTGGGATCTAAGAAAGTTTAGCCCTCAAAGTTATAAATGAGGTCATAATAATAATCCAGAGCTAGGAACATGATCTGTTATATATTATTTTCATACAACTAGACATTTACTTGTGATACCAGTGGCTCATGGATTTTCTAGATCACCGTGCATGGTTTGAAGTGCTAAGATGCGTCTGAACACATGCAACACTGAGTTTCAGAGGAAGTGAAGTGGCCAAGGAAATCTACGCAGGTTTCTCTCTCTCTCTCTCTCTCTCTCTCTCTCTCTCTCTCTCTCTCTCTCTCTCTCTCTC